CGCGCACGAGGCCTCCCCTCCCTCCCTCCCCCCTGCATCGGCGGGCCGCAGATCTACGAAACTTCATCCCGGGCCGCCGGATTTGGTTTTTTCCAGCCGTCTGTTGCGGCCTCAAGCGATGGAGTGGTCGGGGAGCCTCTCCCGCAGCCCAGGCAAGGGTGCATCGCCGCATGCAGGTACGGGTTCGTCCGCCCGCCGCCGCCGAAGGTTTGCGGGCATGGACTCATCCAGCCGTCCACCGGGCTCGGCGCTCGCGCAACGCCTTTGTGGCTTGCCGATGCCGCTCATAGAGTGTGACGACTGCACGAGGAAAGTGCTGCGGCTCACTTCGAGCACGCCGAAGCACCCCGGATGGGTGTTCTTCAAATGCGAAAACGAAGGGGTATTTGCGGTAGCTCGTTTCATAGTTCATTTTCTAGTTCAATTGCGGTAGCTCACTTCGAGCTTGCTCATTCTTTTGTGTAGGACGATGGATGCTCATTTTGGTTTTGGAAAGGCCAATACATTGATTTGTTGATAGAAAGAAACTTAATAAATGTTAGTGCACTCCTTAGTACAATCGAAGGCAATGATGCGGCTGCATGTGCAACTAGAGGGGAAGCAACATCTACTTCTTCCGAACCAAAGATGAAGAAAGAAGAATGCAAAATCAAGAATCCACAGATCAAAAACGAATGCATGGAGAAGATATTAGTCCAACTAGTGGGAGCAATTATGGAAGTTGGAAATCTTTTAAAATGCATACTTGTAGTTTTTGTTTTCTTTGGTCTTACTATTCTAGCAAAGATTTGGTGATATCTTTTGTATCCAATGTTGTTAAATAAGAAAAGCAATGGAATATGCAAGATCAAATTAAGTTGCAAATTTAAATTTTGCGGGCCGGGAGGAGCTGCGCCCGATCAGATGCCACAACCCCAACCCGTAAAAAGCATATTCCGGGAATATCTTTTTTTACATGTCTATTATGCGGGGTCTGTATACGCGGCCGTCCGCGCCGGCCCGCAAAGGCGTTTTTCCGCGACCTACAAAAATGTTTTACGGGTCGAAGGATGCGGGGTCTGCTAGAGTTGCTTGAGAGTCTCATGTGAGCAGTTTGGATACCACTTTAACATGACATATAGTAATACTTAGTAGATCTTGTTGGTAAAAATATAGTTTGCATCTAGTCATAGATTGGACGAAGAGGAAGTGAGCGTATATTCTCTTAACTTGTCACGTCGACGTATCTGACGATAAGCAAGATTTTTCTCGTTAGACATGAACGAACGCGAGCACTTGCAGCATAAGCTATGTGGTCTATCAATCAAGTTAACGGCGCTGGGCCTTCCCAGAGTTCACCACGGCTCTCATTTGTCATTGCATCGCAACCCTTGACAGTTCTTGCCATCGATTTTTCCTGACAGTTCTTGCCATGGATTCGAAGAGCTAGGCTAGCCGCTAAGCTAATTAACCTGTCGTTTCCCGCGCAAAAAAAAATAAATTTAACCACTTGCTTGCTTGCTACTGTGGTGATTAAAATTGATGGCGAAGGGACCGCGAGCCAGAAAGTAACAGGGTCGAAGAGATTGACGGCTCCGCCCATGCATGTCATGTGATGGGCCACATTACATATCGGCAGGATGCGATTGTCAATTCTGCCGGAGGTCAATGATATCTTCACATCAACTTTTCGCGAACAGCAGTAGGAGTACTGATAAACAATTGGATTCCGTGCTGTACTTGTTTGGGCTGCTCTGGTTTGCCACTTTTTTCTTCTAAAGGGGAAAGGAGAATTCCCACTTATGATCAATTTCAGACATATGATATCGGACTTGCTATAACTTTGTGATTATCTGTTATGATTTGCATGCATGCTAGTACTACCCTTTGCTGTGTTGATTTCTACTCTCAGTTAAGTGCGAAAAAGTGATGTTTCTGCGTACTGCAAAAGGTATGTGAAACAAAACATTATTAGCACAAAAGTTACTAGGATGGGTGGAGTAATTAGTATACAAACGATTTTCTAGCGGATGCAATCCACGGCATTTTCAACTGCTTGCCAGTTTTGCAGCTCATCCATGCTTATGAAGGCGAGGGAATGAAAAGAAGGGGATATATGCATGAAAGATATAGACATGCCTATTAAGCATCTTCTTTTGCAAATGTCAGGTATTTGCTCATTGTAGTTGTATCAGATCCATATAACATTTGAGCTAAAATGCCCATTATTGAAGGAAAAAAACATGCCACGAAGATGTATCACCTAAGTGAAGAAATAATTCAAACCCAGATATTGCGGTGCGACTGGCCGTACATGGTTGTCATGATTAACACAATTTTGTAGAATTTGAAAGATTTGATTAAATTTGAATGAATTTGACGCATAAGGTATGCCCAGGACAAATACATGTTGGGTTGTCCACCTCTCAGCTGCCATGTCGTCCTGGCAAGTTGGTCCAAGTTGCTTGTTTGTAGAAAATAACAAATGGGGTGAATTCTGCTATAAATTTTATCGATTCAATAGTCGCATCAAGGTGATACAAAGGAGCAATCGTCGCAAGATTTTTCTGAAAACTGTAACAATCTACTCATTTCAACAGCCTTGCATATGGTTGCCCAATTAGCCCCAAACTATTAACACATAACCACTAGGTTAATACCAAAAACAGGTTGGACCATCATGAGAATGAGATCAACTGTACTCAATACCCCCATTAATTAACCCAATTTGCACCTAATAGGCTAATACTGCATTAACTTGTCCCGGTTTCGTTAGAAGACAAATCAAGCCAATGCCACGACATCGCATTATGAACTGAGCACGGATCTTGGTGTCCCTGCGTGCTACTCCAAATTAAATGGAGAATGCACCCAAACAGGCATTCTCTTGGTCCTGCTTGCGCAGATCCTCCTCTGTGAACTTGGTGTACAACACTAAAGCTAAGCAAGGATCTCCATTGATCCAAGCTGCCTCATTATTCGCCCATAATGCTATATTAGCAGATTGAAACAATAAACTTACAATTGTGTCCGATTCGGGCCACCAACCAGGGATCTTGTGACCAAAGACAATTGCATCTCTGTTGAGCACATCACATCCATAGCTAAGTTCCGGTACGAACTAGCTTGGCTAGCCTGGCGCTGTCATGCACGAAGGAACATAATTTACCTTAATGGATGTCAATTTTCCCACCACGAGGGAAGCTTCCTCATTTCAACAGCCGGAAATCGATGACATGCTTATCAGAAGTTTAAGACTATATCTGGACGGCATACGCGTACGTGTGGTGGTTAGCTGCAGAAAAAACAGAAGGTCAAAATTTAAGCAGAAGAAATAGTGAGTCAAAGTGAATTTTATGCACATTGATACACATCTTAGTCGTTAGCAACTTTCGGACAAGCCGAGTTTTGCTATCTGCATGCTGAGTTTTATACTACTGCTACCAGTGATACAGCTGCGTGCACGGTGTAGCTAGTCCTCTAGCCAGGATTAGTTTCGGAGTAACTTCTGGGTTGGTCTCTTTGACAAAGTCAGAGGTCGAAATCTTGTCAGCTTAACACTTCTTCGGCGGATCAGAGCGGGTTTACCCTCCGTGGCGTGCGTACGGCCGGGAGGGAACCATTCATGGTTAAGTTGTAGCTAGCCTATTAGCTGTCATGCACGAAGGAACTTAATTTATCGTGGATCGTATAGTGCTAATTTTCTCACCACGAGGGAGGCTTCCTTACATTTCACAGGCCGTGCATATGGTTGTCGTTGCCTCCATCCGAAAATACTCCCTCCATCCCAT